ATCGAGTATTTCTACTCCCCCCTGGATGGGATGCTAGTCCATCGCAGGGTTACCCCCCAGCATTAAATTTGCCAGTACCCATTTAAACACCTGGGTGAAGAGAGGCACTGTGAGAGTAAAGTGTCTTGCCTAAGAACACAACACAATGTCCCCGGCCGGGGCTCGAACCCGGACCACTCGATCCAGAGTCGAGCGCACCTGCAACCATGAGGCTACCGTGCCTCCAAGAAGACTATAATTATATACACTGATGCAAACCTTCTAACTTGATGTTGGGGGATGAAAGGGTAGGTGCACATTAACAGACAGGCATGAATGATTGTATATTCATCTAGGGCCAAATCTTCAAAGGGTGGTTGTAATGCTATCCAGCAGATAAGATAAGTGTTAACAAAATGTAATGCTCTGTCAAACAAATACACTGAGATTCATTCAGGACTTGGAATGGTTTGTGGCTATAGATAAAAAGCATGTATTATTTACCTTCCAGATAAAGATTTTGGCTTTGGAGGCAATGCTCTGTTGGCATCAGCTGAAGTTTAAAATCAGTCATCAATTAGATTTGTCCTAACCTTTCCATGCTCAAATATATCATTAAAAGCAAAATAAGAGAAATGCTATGTTTAATTACTGGCAGAAACACTTTTTTTATTTACATCAGACTAGTTTCACATATTTAAAAGTGATGTCCTTACCACTTGTCACCTTTTTCTTGATAATTTTTGGCCCTCTATTAAATTTTACCAAATGATATGACTCAAATTCCTGCAAAAAGAGTCACAGAAAAATTATTCTTGCCAAATGATTTGCATCCTATCATAACAAATAATAGAGTAAAATGTCCGATTGAAGATATACAGATTGAGAAGGAAAACAATATAATATATAGATATAATGCCAAAAATACCATCTTTTCATAATAAAACCTTGGTTTCTTCGCAATATCTAGCTTTGGTTAAAGTCTACATGCGCAAATGTCTAAATATTAATACCTGTAAAATCGTTGGCAAGTCAATGTTGTCACAGACTTCATACTTGGTTAAACTTGCGCCACCTTCTTTCTCAAGAGCATGAGCGGAATCAATATAACTGCAGAAAGAAAAGATAATTTTGAGGAACGTTGATTTCTGCTTTCTAACAAACATAGTTTTAGCTTCGATGTCAACTGCTGTCAATTTCGCTTATTTTAGTTTAGAATCCTGAATTCTGATTATTGCACCACAGCTATTTTCCAACTTACCCTTCCTCCCGTAAGTAATGAGCGATAAGTACCAATAAAGTTCTTTTACGTTGTTCGCATCTTTGTTCTTCCTATCGAGATAAAAACAGTAACTAAGCTAAAATTTTTGATTTTGTTTTGGAAAATTTTACATAAAGTAAGCAACCACAATATTAAAACAATATTCTAGAGAAAATTATTACCGCTTGTCTTGCTTCATTCGCAGTCTTGAGCTGCACATAGCTAAGTTCCTGTGTCATCTATGTGATACAGGAAATTATTTTTGGAACTTTTAGTTTTTCTAGGTCGCAAGGGACGCCATTTTGTTTCTCCACTTAGTGATTTAGAGCCTGCTGTGTTCCCGTACTGCGGATTCCAATTGCTTACATATGCGTCATATTCTGGGAAAGAAGAATGGCGTCGAAGACTCATTCGAAAGTGTTGACTAATCAGTTTAAGAAAACAGCGAAATATTGTTCATCAAGAAGACAAAATAAGACCATGATCAATACATCGCGGTCTTCATAGGTATTCATGATGTCAAGAAAGCGACCGAGAAGAAGAGAAGGATCGATGGACAGTCCTGCAGAGCGACTTAGAAAGGCTGTTGCTAGTGGGAATGTGAAACTTGTGCGGGATCTCATCAGAGATGGTTGCTCTGCCAACCAGATGGATAGCAATGGCTGGACGCTTCTTCACTTAGCGGCTAGCAGAGGGAAAGAACGCGCCCTAAGAGTGCTCCTCGAGAAAGGAGGCGATGCATTTGCGCGAGATTTCGTCGGAGGTTTCACCGCTCTTCATTACGCCGCCATGCACGGACGGACAAGAATAGCAAAATTGTTGTTAGATTTCAAAGGATTAGACAAAGAAAAGCTCGTCGATGCAAGAAGCGAGGATGGTTGGACGCCGTTACATGTTGCTGCGCATTACGGTAGAGACTCGTTTGTTGAGCTTCTGCTAGAATCAAAAGGATTTGTAGACGCTTTAAGCGACAAAGGCACGACGGCGCTTCAACTAGCCATTATTCGTGAAAGGACAAGTTCGATACGTGTATTGTTAAACTGGGGAGCTAACATTGATGTTCAATTTGGATTCCCCCTTCGTTATGCTGTTATTAAAGGTAACGTTAATTGTGTGCGAATGTTGGTTGAACACGGCGCGCTCACAAGCATCAAAAGACCCGAGGATGGCCAAACTCCTCTCCATTTAGCTGCGTTAAGGAACAGTGAACCTTTGGCACGCTTGCTTTATAAGTTTGGAGCAGATATTAATGTTTACAACGATGAAGGACTTACCCCTTTATCGATTTCAAGGATGATGTACAACTTAAACTCAACCGATAGAGACTGTTTGGATTTTCTCAGCAGTGTGTCAAGTAAGTGTACATATGTAAACAATCGACGTGAGCTAAAAGTAGTAGAGGCAAAGGAAGGCACACTTCCACTCCGAAACATAATTGTCGTTCTTATACACCAAGACTAAACCACTTTTTTCCTTGCATTCATGTCATGAGGGTAAATTTCTCATCCATAGTTACCTTAAAATTTTCATTTGATTAGACGTACTGAAAGAAATGGTTTTTGTTGGAAAAGTAATTCCTACTCCTTGATCATAAATATTAATGTGACAAGATTAAATTTCAGTTGGCGTGGAGCTGTTAATTAGTTGACAAGGAGGAAGCTTGCTGGAAGTAATGGAACATGACTTTAAGAATGGTGCAAACTAGTAGAGAAATGTTGATTGAAAACAAAGGAGAAAAAAGAAAGATTGCGGCGTTGTCATTCATGGCCTTAAAAAAAAAAGTATGGTCACGAAAACGGGGCAATGCAAAGGAGTGATGCTGATGTATGTCTAGCAGAAAATAGGATGATGATTATGACATGCATTTCACTTTCCATAATGTTCATCCTTTCAGTGACTCATTTGGTGTATTTTCACTCACCCTTAGTCACTTATATTATTACTTTTACTTGTTTCATTACTCACATCAAAGTGTACATATATATACAATTTATTAAAAACTGGATCATTGGATAATGCAATTCAAGACTTTTTATTGGCTTAGCCATTATGGTATATGAGCCAATATACCATAATCTAATAATTATCTGTACATTGTAACATCCAGTTTCTTCTTACAAAATAAAGTCAAGAAGATTTGTCTAATATCTTGGGGGCGTTTTTTTTAATAAAACAATTATTCCACTCGCGTTTGTTGGATATGAGATGATTATAGCCAACTTGGCGCTACATGCCTCGTTGGCTATCTATCATCTCATATCCAACGCGTGCTCGTGAAATAATTGTTAAATATTTAACAACCTCTGTAGGGTATAGTACTGTACTTCAGTTTACATTATATATAGGAATAAGGTCCTTATCAACAGTCACAGAGTGAACACAAAATCAGTTCACCTTAAGGGGATGTGTAGTGGAGTAGTTTTCTTGTCCTTCACTCTAATAAGTCTATAACTTCTTTCTCTTTTCCACTGCTTAGCTCAAAATTTACCATTTGTCTTTTCAATATGATTAAATGACTTGCTTAACATCAATTCCTTTCTCTTTTGTAGCATGGAAAGTTTGTAGGGGCTCATTCTACCTCTTCTGGAGTGTCTCTGGTTACAGAAGCTTGAAGTTTCTAACTCAAACAGAGACAACTGAACAAAATTGATTACTAGTTGATTATTGAAATTATAAAATATAGGTGTAATAAGTAAAATTTTTTGGGGCTCACTCATTAAAAGATAATGTTTAATTTCTTAATTTTCAGAAAATCCAAGAGGTTTACAAGATTCCTGCCGTTTTGTCATTCGAGAAGCACTTGGTTCCAAGAGACTTAAAGATATAGCTAAGCTACCAGTCTCAGTTATAATGAAGGACTTTCTTCTCTACAAATATGATTAATGTAAGATGACAAGTATAAAAGTCACAGCAAACTAACAGAGTTTCTGGGTCGTCATTGGGCTAAAAATTGCTCCTTTATTCCCACCAACAATAGGAATGAGCCAATGGTGACTTGTGATCATCGACCTTTTTGGAGTTTCCATAGTCATAAGTTACCAAGAAGGAGTAATTTTTAATCTGAGCCCAATTTCTAGAGTAAAAAGGGGAAATCCACATAAGCTTAGATACATTAACAACAGGCTATAAAACAGATTTTACTTTGTCAAGGCAGAAATTTTTCAGGTACTGGATGATTTAGATTTCTTTTAGTTAATATAGAAGGTGATATGTTATAGTTTTTAAAATGGATTTCAGTTGAAATGTCTAAAAAAAAAAATTTGAATTGTACAGATGCATGAAGATTCCTCTCTTGTGGGTGAATATTCAATTAGCATTTTTGATCCACAACAGAGCTAAGACATTTACATGTACCTAGCTAATGTTATATATGTAGGAGTATTTTGTTTTAAAGGCTGATAGTTTCTAAAAAAACTGTTTGGAGCTGCGTCGGTGGGGGTTACGAAATAATTTGGATATATCAACAAAGTTGAAACGGTAAATTGGCCACTGTAACAATTACAAAAGCTGACGTTTCGAGCATTAGCCCTTCGTTGGAGCGAATGACGAAGGGCTAACACCCGAAACGTCAGCTTTTGTAATCGTTACAGTGGCCAATTTACCGTTTCAACTTTGTTGATATATCCAAATTATTTTTTTTTTAGCTTGGTTTACCCCACCCTACAAAACTGTGCGTCCCATACACAAAATGACAAAGTTCACATCAATCTATGAAGGGGGTAATTTTCCAAAGAAACTGTGGTGCTGCTTCAGTGGGAGTAACAAGTTCATTTGGTTTTATGAACTATAATATAAACTGGCCACTGTAAAGAATTTCAATGCTGACATTTTGAGCATTAGATCTATGTCTATTCTTCCTCCATTTGCTCTTATAAATGACTAACACTTGACATTGGAACTCTTTACAGTGGCTAATTTACGTTAACTCAGGGGATAAAACCAACATTATCACATTAATGTAGACTGCTTTAAGCTTTCCATAAGGTTTGATAGGGGTTTTACCAATAGCATGAAGAAGGTTGTGTATTTTTTGAAAGGTAAAGAGACTGCAGGTGATCCAGTAAACTGGTCTGTGCAAAAACTAAAAAAAAAAAAAAAACAGTTGGGGGATGTAATCTGTGTCATTTGCAGTTATTGATGTAACTGTCTCACAATGCTCAAGTTTGTTGTCCGTAATATTATACATGTGCATACAAAAACAAATCAGTGAAAACAAACCTCCATCTTCTATCCTTCCTGTGTGGGGATATTTTCCTTTAATCATTTTTAATGCTTTTACTTTAAAAGGTGCACTGGAGGGTATCTTTAGAAAGTGTTTAAATTTATTACTTTGATTTATCTTTGTCAGAAAAATGTAGTAGTCTGAACAGACGATAGGTGGTTTTAGCAAAAAAAATAGCATACAATTTTTTTTTACAGCTATTATGTTGATTTGTGTCGTAGATCAAATTTCATCACATTTGATTTTGTGTATTTTAATTGGTCTTTTAGGTGTTTGTGTCAGTAACATGCAAATTTTTATTATTTGAATTTGCCAATAAAGTTTTAAACATTAAAATGTGCCTGTAATTAAGGGACTCAACAATTGCTACCTCCAAGGTTTGAGCTTATGTTAAGGTCATTTGATATGGCAGTAGGTAAAGGTGTTTGACAAGCAGTTTTGTCCTGGGGTAAAATGTGACCTAAGGACGTCCACCCTGTCAGAGGCCAAACCTCTCACCCTTCAAAATTTTTCTGGACTTATCTTGAAAATACTTATAATTGCAGTCACTTTAAGTCTTTTCAAACAACTTTTGACAATCCTTGTTAATACTATGTTCCCTTTGTGGCCAGCAGAACTCAGTTGTTTTGGTATTAGATAAAGGGTGGAAATGTAAAGTGGCCACCGTAGAGTTCCATAGGTGACGTTTTGGGCGTCAGCACCTCACCATTTCGCTCTGACTGACTGCACTGGGGGCAAATGTTCGAAAGGTCAGCTTTGGAACTCTTTTCGGTGGCCAATTTACGTTATCGACTCAGGTGATAAAACCAAAATTACCTTCTTTTCTGTGTTGGTCTTGTAATCTACAGGTTTTTAAGCTTAAGCCCTACACCATGCCATCCTCTCGATTGGTTCCTAACTGTTTTGAGTTCAACATCTGCGGTCTGCAAATAACTACCCCATCTATATAATTTGGATATATCAACAAAGTTGAAATGGTAAATTAGCCACCGTAATGATTACAAAAGCTGACGTTTCGAGCGTTAGCCCTTCGTCGGAGCGAATAGAGGAATTGTGGGTTGTGTGTGCTTTTAAAGGCAGAAAATGGAGCTACGTTATTGGTGGGAGCATGGCAACGAGAAAAACATGAATAAATTAGTGGAATGAAAAGCGTTCGTTGATCCCTGTGGGATTTAGACTGCCGGTTTGAAAGATGAGCTTTTGTTCAAGATTTTTACGGCTTTCCGTGCCACCTAAGTGCAAGGAAAGACCGCAGATTGCCATATATCTTCAAGGGTCAAACATGCAAGTTTGTGCACACACTCACATTACCGTGTTTATATTTCTGCACGTACATACTACCCTAAATCAAGATTTATTTTGCGCCAAATCCTGTTTAATATCGTTTGAAAGGCCTGTCGCTTCCAAGTTAAAAGGGACCTTATAAGCAGTCAGGACGGCAACGCCAAGGAAGACTTCGATTAAAAAATGAATTTCTACTCTTAGTTAGAATTTCAAAAATAGCTGCATGAGCATATTGTCTCATACGGCGCCACAGCTCAACTTCAATATGACGTATAAAAGTAGTGTTGAGTTCCAAATGGAAATTAAAATATTTGCCGCCGCAGTTTCCGTTCGCAGACGACGCAAATTTTGGCGATTTCACATTGTTGTTTTGCATAGGACGGCAAAGAACTGTACGTGGTGAGCTATTGGTCTGTCAATTAGATCTCTTGGTTTTCTACGTCCTCGTTGTCGTCGCCGTCGCTGTCGTGGTTGCTTAAGGTATAAGGTCCCTCAGTTAATTTAATAAAATGGCTGAACACAGTTTTCGCGCGCGCTTTTGCTGATGCAATTCAGTGCGCGCACAAGGATTGCAAAAAACAAACATGCCGTCTATTAACAGCGCTCCAAGCTCAATTTTTCACCTTCAATTGTGAAATGGTCGCCATAAGAAAAATTTCGTTTCTCCCCCGCCCAAAAAATATAATAAACTAGAAGGGGAGGACACTTCATGATCTATTACACGAATGGCTAATGCACCGAATGGCACGTTCATGACACTTAACTTTGCTACTGTAAGAAGAAGGAAAAAGAAGAGACTGTCAAGTAGCAAAAACGATTTATTTCAACATTAAAAATCTGCTGAGGCTGTGTAACATTGCCAATTGTCCCTTCAAATCGATCGCATTTGCCATTTTTTTACGCATTCGAGTTTCTGAATGACGAGAGGTGAAAAGAGAAACGCAGGTGGTGATGCCACAGCTTGTAGTACTGAATAAATTCGTCCTATTGTTGATAATTTTTTAATTTTTTTTTTTATTTTTGGGTCGCCAATTGGTGACTTTCGCCAGAATTTTAGTCACCAAATATTTTTTCACTCACCATGGCGACCAAAATGGTCACAGCTTGGAGTGCTGATAGTGTTTGCTTGCATGTTTTTTTTTCTGGAATTCCTAAACATTCACATGATTCAGACAGAACTTTCTTCACAAATCTAAGCTCCCTCTTACACTCCACATCGCTCCACTTGTCTACACTGGGGAATTTCCAGTATGGGAAAATTGGCTTTGACGAATAGGTGTCATAGGTAAGGTAAGGTAAGGTAAGACTTTATTTAACGAGGGTAACATGTGACAGTAATGAAACTGATAAACTAATGGCCCTCGAAAATTAAAATTCGGAAAAGAAAGGAATTGTAACAAACGTAACAATATTAGGAATAATTAAAATAAAATAATTAACCTATATACATCATAAAATATTAAAAATATAAAAAAAAAAAAATTACAGGAATAATTTGCTAAGAATTTGATTATCTATAATTATTTTAAAAAGGGAACGCTTAAAACGCTTTACACTGGTACTCCGTTTGATGTCAACACTTAATTTGTTCCATTCTTTCGTGGCTCGCACAGCAAACGTTCGACCCCCTTCAGAACTTCTCTTAAAACGCGGGCACATTAAGTTTAAATTACAGAAACGGGTTTGTCTATTATGAGTGTCAGAGTTTCTGATAAGAATATCGTTTATATATTCCGGGGTATTTCCATTAAGCCTTTTGAAGGTTAGAGTGCATCGATTGACGTATGATTCATCATAAAAAGGAACCCACTTTAAGGTGTTAAATAAGCCGACAGAAGGTGCTGTTCTTTCGGCATCAAGGATAATTCTAGCCGCACGTTGTTGAAGACGCAGGACTTTCAAAAGATTTTCTTTACTGCAAGAAGTCCATATCGTGCTACCGTAAAGCATTACAGGTTTAATGATCGTAGAGTAGTATATGTCACGTTGATTGCGTTTCAGATAAGGACTTATGTGACGAAGAAGTCCAATACGTTTCCCCAACTTTTTGCTTAACTCCTCAATTTGGCGATTAAATGAAAGATCCTGATCCAATGTTATCCCAAGTAGTTTGAAGTCAGTAACATGTTCGATATTGCTTCCATTTAAGCTAACATCTATTGAGGTAGAGGCGAGAAGGTTCCGCAAACGTTTGCCAGTTACCAGCATGGACTTCGTTTTCTGAGAGTTAATGAACATTTTATTTCGTGCTGACCATTCATCTAAACGTTTGAGATCTTGATTTAAAGCCTGTGTCAGATGAGGAACATTTTCCCAGCTAGAGCATTTTGATAAAGTTGTGTCGTCAGCATAAACGTCTAGTGTTGAATCACGTATACTTAAAGGCATGTCATTTACAAACAATAAGAAGAGAATGGGTCCTAAAATTGATCCTTGAGGTACTCCTTGTAGCAACTGCTTACTGGTAGAACAGCAGCCATTTATACGCACATATTGTTTTCTTCCAGTGAGATATGACCCAAACCACTTTAATGATATATCGTTTGATCCATAAATAGATAGCTTCTTAAGTAAAAGCTCGTGATTTATCACGTCGAAAGCCTTTCTAAAATCGACAAAAGCTAAGCCAGTTACCATATTATTATCCATATTAAAGAGCAGTTCATCAGTTAATTTAATCAGTGCCGTTTCCGTGGAGTGATTAGGACGAAAAGCTGACTGGAGGTTGTATAGCAAATCATAGCTGTGCAGGTGTTTGCGGAGAGATGTTGCAACGTGTCGTTCAAGGATCTTAGAAAGAACGGGTAATACAGAAATTGGTCGATAGTTGCTTGTGTCTTCACGAGAGCCACTTTTAAATAAGGGAGTAATTTGAGCGGTTTTCCATGACGAAGGGAAACATCCAGTGGAGATGGAAAGATTCATAAGGCGACAAAGGGGGTGGACCAGAACAGATGCCGCTAACTTAAGCACCTTCGCACTAAGGCCGTCACATCCAATTGCCTTACTTGAAGGGATCTTTTTAATGAGATCAAGCATTTGCGTCTCAGTAATAGGTGGTATTTCAAAGGATTGATTGCCTGACTTTGACTTTACAAATTCGTAGAGAGCCAGATCATCAAAAACTAAGTCTGCGACGTGCTGACTGTCAGGGGTAATCTGTGAAGCAATGTTGATAAAAGCGTCATTCATATTTTCAGCAATTTCTTGTTTATCTGTTACGACGCCATT